CGCCCCCACCCGGGTGCAGGACCCCGCGTTTGGCCGTGTTGAACCCCGTGAGGTTAACACAGGTCCACCCCTCCAGCCTGTCCAGGTCCCCCTGGATGGTATCCCGTCCCTCAGGTGTGTCACCACCCCACGCAGCTTGGTGTCATCCGCAAACTTGCTGAGGGTGCCCTCCATCCCACTGTCTGTGTCATTGATGAAGATGTCAAACAGTGATGGTCCCAATACGGACCCCTGAGGGACACCATTTGTCACTGATCTCCCCCTGACATTGAGCAGTTGACCACTGCTCTCTGGATGTGACCGTCCAACCAATTCCTCATCCACCGAACAGTCCGCCCATCAAATCCACATCCCTCCAGTTTAGAGAGTGGATGTTGTGGGGCGCTGTGTCAAAGGCCCTACAGAAGTTCAGACAGACGACATCTGTAGCTCTTCCCTTGTCCGCTGTGGTAGTCGCTCCACCAGAGAAGGCCACTAGGTTGGCCAGGCAGGACTTGCCCTTGGTGGAGCCGTGCTCGCTGTCCTGAGTCACCTCCCTGTCCTCCATGTGCCTTAGCGTAGCTTCCCAGGAGGTGGGGGACACCACTGCCGCCTCCGTCCCCTGCCGGGGGACGGGACATGTCCCTGCGTCCGGGGGTGGCAGGAGCACCCTGGAAGGGTCGTTGCCCACGGGTGTTGTTCCTTCCCTCCTGCCAGAGGGAGATGCCCCCAGTTTGTGCCTTGCTCTCAAACTGGGGGTGACCCCCCCTCCCCGCCTTACCAAGGTCTTTTCGAGAGCCGGATCCCCGCAGGGATCCGTTTGGAGGTTGGGCAGCGCAAGGAGATGAGTCACCCGGCACCGTTCCCAGCCTTGGGGGTGGCTGCCGGCATCCCGCTCGCCGGTGGCACTCCGGTGACATGGGACTGCTGCCTAAAAAGGGCTTTTCTGAGTGGGGCTGTGCTGGTTGCAGTTGGTCGCCGAGCGATTACTCATGCGGATCTGCTGACAGATCGGAGGGAGCGGTCGTTTCCAGCGGGGACCGGCGATGGGTGGCGGAGGGCAGACTGGGGGAGAGGAGCTCCGTCACCCACGTGTCCCCTGCAGCGATGGGGTTTGGGAAGGGGGTTGGAGGACGACGACGACTTGTGACCACAGCCCGGCTCTCCCGCGGTGCCATCATAAATAATAATAGCAGCGTGCAGAAAGCTCCTGCCTGCTATTTCGGTTGGCACAGATGGGCTGTAAAAATCGCACGGGCTGCAAATGGCAGAGCCGGTGACTGTCACCACCCGGACATCTGGGCGGTGGGCACTCGGCTACGGCCCCCCCGGGGGGCTGTGGGAGCTGGGGGGCTGGGGGAGAAGGGCCGGGAGGTGCCTCCAGAAGCAGGTTGGGTGCGAGCAGAAAGAGGTGCCTGCGCCGGGGTGCGATAGGAGCTGCGGATTGAAGGCGGCTTGTTTGCTGACTGCTCCCCCCGTGCGGTTTCGGGGGTGGCTGGAAGCGCTCGGGTACCAGGGTGAGACCCCCCCACCCGGGGGAGAGGGATCTTTCAGCTGTGGGATGGGTCCTAAAGAACAACGTCTCGCTCCAGGCTGGGCGGTGGAGCCCTCCTCGGGCACGGACAGCCGTCGCTCGGGCTCCGGGGCTCTCCCCTGCCCTCTCGTAGGCCCCTCTGCCGAAAGAAAAAAGAGAAAAAAAAAGAAAAAAAAAGAGGTTTCGTTGTAATGCAGAATGCGCTGGAGGCTCGCCGCTTCCAGCTCGCTCGGCTCGCTGTGCGTTTGAAAGAGGGGGGGGATAATTTCGCGGTTGCGAGCACAGAGGTGTTCCAAGTTCGGCCATCTGTGTCTCATTCACTCCCTGCCTGGGACACGGAAGAACTCCTGTTTATAGGAGCCAGGCTCTTTCATCTTAGAAGAGCTTTTTTTCTTGGTGGTTCCCCCCCCACCTTCCCCCCCCCATCTTAAATCTTGGGTTTTTTTAGCAACGCGTTGGAGCTGAGAGCCGAGCGCT